GACGTCGGTCTATGTTGGTCAGCCCGTTTTTTCTTCTCTTTTGAAAGTTCAGATATCTGTGCAAGAGGTCAGCTAACTACAACACCTCCTCTTTGAACGCAACGCCTCGCATCGTGTGTTAAAACGATTCAACGCACTTTCGTGGAAAGGAAAGTTTTTAATTAAATACGAATCTGTCACCGTTTTTCTCTTCATGCTGGTAGAACCCCTCGAGTCTTCGTAACACCTTTGACGCGATTCACTTCCGTTGTAAATCTTACTTATTTATAAACCCTTTGCGTTAACATTCATCCGGTAATTGTGCTGGACTATTAGCTAATCAATCTACGTGCGTGTCATTGGTCCAAAGAACAAAAATTTACCATAACATAAAGAAACTTCAACCGAGGAAACAACAAATATTCTGTTAACTCTGAAACTTTGAATGTTTTTTTTCTTAATGGTTGTATTTCCAAGTACAAACAATTAAACTTTTTTTTTTGATAATAAGATAAAATTTTGTTAAATATCATAGTGTATTTCATTACTTTCCTGCTTCTGTAAGATTAAGTTTCGTAAACATTAAACTCAGTTTTCACAGTTCAGAAACTAGTGGAGATACAACAATTAAAAACTAGAGCGACGATGTGTGAATATTAAAATTAATACTATGGACAAATGTATAACTTCTACTGTCTACTTTTCTCTATACACGTGTTTTAACAAAACAAATGTTTTAAATTATGTTTTTCCCATGACCCTACTTACATCAAAAACTCCGTACCAGAATCCAACCCAGGGGGTTAATCGATTTTCACCAGTCATGGGACAAAATCTCCACTTCCGGCGTGCAGTAACAAGACAACCGTATTATTTTTCGAGCAACCAGACCGCAAATATCTTCCACGGGGTATAAAAAAAGCCTCCCTAGGTGTTGCACGGTGGTTATCGATAAACACGCCGATAGCACGCGAGCCGATCGTTATGAGCACCGCTGGCTTAAGGTGATTGCGTATCATCATTGGGTGTGGGTATACATATACCGTATGCCATATGGTCGCTACACGCTATCCAACGTATGCCGTACGACATTCTGAGATGCCATAGAGCGGGCCTGGCGAGGAGGCAAGAGGGTGGATCGACCACGTTGGTCCCTGGCTTTGCACAGAGAGGCATAGGCGGCCGAGCGCGCCCGTATGAATATCCCGTTTCCCCGAGACTGTTTCCAGTATACGTCCAGTGGTGCTTGACCAATGGCCCGGCATCCAGGTACGATGAAAAAAAACGACAGGCCCGCGGAAACGGTTACAGGCTGGGGAAGAGGGTTATGTTGGAGGGGGAAAACGCATGAAATCGCAAGGGCGAGCCGCAGGTTTTTCAACGTCCAGCCTGAACGCCTAGGCTCCCCCCATTCTCGTTAATACGTCTGTCGAATAGGTCAAGGATTATTGACATGGGGAGCTTGAAAAGCGTGGCGGGATGCAATGCGCGACGGCCACAACGACCAGCCGGCCAGTGTTTACATTAGCAAATCGCGGACGCACGGAGAACCGTCCTACTCTCTCGGGGCTACTCAACGATTAGCCGAAGCGCGCTTCCAGTGACTAATTCCACCGTAGAAGACCCAAGGATGCCGAACCTACGGAGCTTCCAGGCCGGTTCTACTCGATATTTCTTCCTGGTTGCTTGATTGATCGTCCGTCTCGTGGTTTCATCGGCCGACGACGATGGACGCGCACACGTCGTGGATTTCCCGCCAGTCCGCCCCCGGACCCGCATTAAGAGCGTTAGAACCGACGGGGAAGAGGGGTAGGACGATTAATGACGCAACTAAACGGACACCTGTAATTGCAGTTATCGTCCACGTGATAAAACGTGTGGTTTGTGGAATTCCGTTGTGGAGCTTAGCGGGCGACGCGCCAACAACTCGCGTAGGGTTGCTGCCAGCGCTAACAATAAACGAACGGTTTTCGTTTTAACTTCGGAATAAACGCTTCCCACCCTCTGTTTATTATTATCGCTGCTAACGGAGAGATCTTAGGTTGTATATATACGTATAGTCGATCGTTATGAATACACTGAAGTGTAGTGAATTGCATAAGTGTTAGTGCACGTTATTAACATCACACGATAGACAACATACAGTTCCTGGCTATGTTAATGTGACCACTTGGAAATTTTGTAGAAGAACAATTTTTTTTCAGTATTGCCAGTGCACAATAAACTATTGCAAAAAAAAACATTTTGGCATCGAAGAATAACAATTATGCTTCAGAAGACTGGTGTTAGTTAGATTCTGCTAAATGCAGACTCGTGGTAACAGTAATATGGTCAGGGACTGTAGTATACTGTATACTGTCTTAATATATGCTCTCGATTTATACAGTTTGTAGTAAAAAATAACGAAAAGAGAAGTTTACGTAAACTGTTAATCGTTTCGAGTCAATAATTGCTGGGGGAATTTGTGTGACTCACCGCGGGAGGCGATATTATTGATTGCACACTGCTGCTGACAGATTTTTCTATGAAGCTTATAACTTTGGGAATCAATGCTGTTCACAAGTGAAAACAAAACACCGATGAAGAATGTTGCCCAGAAACGGAAAACTCGTTGCTTATTATTTATCAAATGCACGTGGAAATTTTAACTGTAAAATAAAATGTTTTTTTTTTCATGGTAAACGAATAAACACATACCCAAATATTTGTTTGAATATAAATCAAATTGAAAACCCAGGTTCATTATTTACCAATCGTTATAAAACTTTCTCCTAATTAGCAGAAATTCTGCGGTGGCATTTCAACTGCATTCTCATCGATATGTCGGTGACGTTTTTTCATGCATCTAGATCCCACAAGCGTCGCATACCGAGTGCATGAGACAAAACATACGTATCGTTTCTTCGAACGTTAGAGTAATCGGAGGAAGTATACCGAAGCGATTCATCATCGGCTTGGCATCGGTACGTCCAATGTCTCGTGACGCCAACTGAAAATGAGCCCTAGTAGAGATTTCACATTTTCACGTCCTGGCGTCATATTATAGTTGTTGCCGTCGAAACTTCCGGGTGTAAGTCAACGATGGTATGTACATGTATCGGTATGTCATTCGACGATGAAGTTGGCTGCAATCCCGGCGAAACGTAGGAATGATTTTATCAAGAAGTGCATGGGGCTTGTAACCGAAAGCCTCGACGAAAAATGAGAACCTCTTTACTCCTAACCGCAAGCTGCAATGATACACGGTGGGAACCGGAGCCCGCGATGCTCGGTAAAAAGTGAAATCAACATAGTCCAGGCGAGATAACAGGGCCGATGATAGTCGGGACGAACCGATGACAGTTACACACCTACGTATGGCTCTTCGCTTTTAAGTACGGTTAGAAAGCGTATAAAATTACAGGAAGCGCCGACCGTACACGCTTTTACCCCAAGATTCACGGGCATTTGGACCCCGCTTGCAAAAGAATAGTTACCTGGCAAGGATATGTATAAATTGTATACACGTAACGGGAACGTCTATAACGTTCATAATCGTGCGAACAGGTTTCTGTTAATATTCCAACGTTCAAAGTCTGCACGACGCGCGTTCGTCTTGTAATAAAAGTGCAATTTATCGTGTTCGATGATACAAGCGTTTCATGTTCTGGAAAATCCACCTGGCTCGCATAACATCATATTCGATTGACTGCACACGCCTGAAGGATCAGACACATTCAGGCTATTCCAAAAGCTCCGAAAAATTAGTTGCCCTCGAAAGTTTTGTCGATCTTTGAATCATGTGGTTCTAGCTATCATCCAATCCCAGAAACGTGTATAATTGTTCCACGATACTGCATTAATAGGGAAAATCACGTTGGATGACCTCCACACATACATATCATTGTATTTTCTGGAACTACAATATTGCAAAGAAGAACAGTATATATGACTTCGTTTAAAAAATGATAATAGTCAAATGTTCGAGGCCCCATAATCTATACAGAGTACTCATGCTCACTGTATGTCCTTCGTGAAACTGTTCAACTTTTATCTGAAACATTTGTTTTATCTCACTAATCGTTTCGATGACATTCGTCAGCGTTGATTAAAACGAGCCACTCTGCGACACGCGTGAAACAAAAAGAACATCCTGTACCATCGGTAAGAAACTTTCGAACGAAATAAAAAAATGCGATGCTTGTTTATGTACGATGGTATGCTGCTGATACATCTGGGCCGCGAATTCCTAATGGTTCTAACACCGGTCTCTAGTTTGGTTCGTTGAGTACAGCTGCACTTACGGTTGTACGACCTTTCTCATTCGAGCACTCGGGCTGTCGCTACCAACCTAAGATTCGTCGTTCACTAAACCTCGAGCGAAAAACAAACGAACTGGGGTTAGTCGATCGTCTACTGATCACGTATTAACAATCTCCTTTTTTTCCATTCTATGTAATTACAAACTGGCGTCCATACACGCGCCTTTTTCATGAGAGAGATTAAAGGGAAATAGTTCCGAGCATGTCTGCTTGTCGTGCCGATTTACATTCCATCGTTATCGCCGCTTGGTTTTCTCAATACTGACAGCTTACACCGATATTATCATCGTAGCCCACAAGTGCGTTGATCTAAATAGACGCAAACCGCTACTGTCAGTCTCTGCGTACAGTATCAAACTACGCGTGTACACACATGTGCGTTCAGTGCCGACATACGTGACAAAACATGAATGTACCTTTCTTTCATTCATATTAAACATCAACGTAATACCAGTCGCAAGCATTCAAACGTCTCTTTAGACGTTTTTTTTATCCAATAGAAATGCATTTCTATTGAATATAATTGATATTTAAGACGACGGTCGTAGTACATTTTATAAAGTATTATTAAATTCAACATTTCCTGGCATTTACCATTAAGCGTTGGGGCCCCAGCTATCTTTGTACGATACTGTTCAATGGCCGCCTGGACTTTGCATCCGTTTTGTTGGCAGTAGTGCGCATAGTAGTCTTCAGTGCGTCGTGCGAAAAGCAGTGGAGCTTGGCGAGGTCGCCTTTTACGTTGGCACGGAGATTCTTTGGTGCGTGTTTTCGGTCGCGTTCTCGGGCCGAGAGAATCTCGTTTATTAACGTCTTTGTGTCAGTTGCATCTCGATACGATCAAACGGAAGTGATGAAGTGTGATTCCGTGCGCGAACGTGCCAGGGCGTAGCCAGACGTTGTGCAAAATCGCCTGAAAACGAGGGACGACAAGGCGGTGCGTGACAGTCGGAGTCTGCCATTGGAAAGGATATCTGTTGTCTTTTTCGCACCAGTGGTATTTTGCGTACTCGCGGGTTCGCTGCATCATCGTCATTGCCACCGTCAACCTTTCTCCCTCTCTCTCTGATACACATACACGCACACTCTCTATCCTACCTCTCTTTCTCTAGCGTCTTATTCCGTAATACTGTTCATCCGTACCACTTTATACGCGCTGTGCAGACAAAAGTGAGGAACGTCCACGCATGGTGCAGTTCTGATCGCAACAAAGTTCTAAATTCTAAGTACGAGGTGAGTTTTTTTTATAACGCTGACATTCCGTCCTGTTCGTCGTGACCGTGCGCGCTGTCGTTTTGTTGGAAAACGGATTTTCCATGTCCAATTGATTTTATCAAGCAAGAATATGAAATAAGGGAGAGGCATAATATCCATGGGGGTGTGGATTCCATTGGCTGTCGGCGGTGCTTGGGTTTCTGTGCTTCTGGCACACCCATCGCTGCGCGACCGCTGGGCACCACCGTGTAAGTTAGAGTCGGGCGGAAGGGACGAGAGTTCTTCTTCTCTTGAATAAAAGAGGGAGAGTAAAAAGCCGGTATACCATCACGGGCTTTTTTCCTCTTTATTGAATTATTTTTCATCCGGAGATTTCACTCGGCCAGTCGCCGTAAAGCGGGTCTAATCTCGCGGGAAAAGGAAGAGACCGTTCGCCGGTGATTTCGGTTACGATAACGACGAAACAATTCTGTCTAGAAAGTGATCATCTTTAACGCGTTTTTTTCGGGGGGTGGGGAACGCTGGATGGGAGGTGGGGAATGCAGGACTTTCGTTTTCCTGTAAACTAGAAAATAAAGAGGACAAGGAAAAGAATATTAACGAGGAATTTTGTATAAAAGCGGTGCGTGGTGGCCCCCAGAAGTAGGGAGGGTAAATTCTGACGTACGCTTTGTTCGGACTGGCATTCGACTTTCTCGTACCTAGCACGAGTTTCACGCTCCTGTCACGGTGCCTCATTGCGTGGTTGGTTATCGTTCCGCATTTGTACGAGATGATTTTTTTTTCTCTCTTCGTGAATTGCAAATACAACGCAATCGCGCTTAAATTGAAGTGTTTTCTGAATTTCATTTTGAAACAAGAACCTCGGCGTCAGTATGCAATGGGTAATTTATAGGCGGGATTATTATCAGTTTGACAATTCCGACGAAGTGCTGTTTGGCTGTTTATAACTGACAATGAAATAATAAGTAAGCTTGCTTACGCTCGATGCTTGTGATGAAACACCGTTCAAAACAATTAGAGAATCATATTGTTGCATTCATACCCATCGACATAGCGTACATAACATATGAAGAAAGTTTTTTTATGGAAACAAAACCAGAATCGTATCGAAAAGATGATCATTTTATCATATTTGTAGCATTTACTTCGTTTCTTTCGTTTGATTCGCGTAATAGGACCGCTTACAGTTGCGGTCCTCTAATTATTTTGAACACTGTATCTTCACGTGGTTGTAAATGGCAAGCCCGTTTCAACATTCCTATGCAATAGCTTCAAGCAACATGACAAACGAAAGTTTTCATCGGAGACGTTCGCGTCATGAGTAAAATTCAATCGTAACACATTTATAGAGTGGCACGATTGACTTCTTATAATGTTACTTAATGTTCCATTGGTTTATCATTGTATTATTGATTCGCGAGACCACGCGTTAAACGGTGTATATCTAAGATACGAATTCCTTTATCGGATCTCGCATGGCACTGATAACGACCGAAAACATTGCGCATTTAAGTTTGTCAATCTAAGATTAATCTTTGGCCACAACGGATAACGTTCTCTGTTCGTTAGTTATGTAAAGAAAGACTTATCCGTTTAACGTAACTTGGTGTGTAAATATTTATTCCTTATTCGAATAAGTCAATTGTAGTCGATAAAAACTATTTTTTTTTCATCTAATACTTTGAAACGTTGATTTTAGTTGAAATGTTTCCGTAAAATCGTATTCGTTATAATAAAAGTTATTTTAGAACATTTCTGTACCAACACAATGACACGACAAGTTGCACGTGAGAGTTTTAACACATTCAGGACCGTGTAACTTCCAGTGGGTCATCCATTCATAATTGGGCCTCTCGGAACCTAAACGGATAGAGTACACGCGATAAAAAAATAACGTAAACCAATCCAGAGAGGACAATTATTATCGACGATGAAATATTTCTCGAGAAATTCGTAGCTCAGGAAGAGGAAGATGCATAATTTCGTTTGGTCATGTATTCGCGCCAATCATTTCTTATCGGGATAGAGTCTCGAGGCGATTTTTCGAAAGTACACGTATTATTCGGTCGATAACAACCGTCGTCGTAGTCACGTAAGCTCCTTTTTCTCTCGTTTTTTACTTCAACGCTTCGATTGTTCGGCTTTGGTTGTTCGTAGGTGGACGATCCAACATGAACAGCAGATGACTGTTGGCCGAGCTGATGCTCGTTCGACTTTAATATGAGTGAAGTAGTGGCTGTTACACCTAGTGGTGGATCGACACACCAGGAAAGCGTGGCACACGTCAAACGGCATAAATTAGCCAACTGTAATGTTCCTCTCGTGCACGGACGGACAAATCCGCCGATCAACAACCGTAACAGGCTGACCACCCATCAACGGAATCACAGTTTGGACTTTAGGTATGTAACAAATAGACGTGACCGAGCCCCACGCTTCCGGAGGACATTTATAGACGTAGATAGCTGGTAATTTTTCATTTCTGCTATCTGCATAGCTCGTGGTATTATCTTCATAGAGGAATTCGAAAACCAAGTCGAGACTTCCAAGTATTGATACAACAGACACAAGCATTTCTAACGATATATCCGTTCAGCAAGAAAAATGACATGTCAAATAAAATTAATCAGAGTAAACGTTGACAAACAGTAGGCCACGCAGATTTAAACTTAAACTTTTAGTGCTTCCGCCTACGAAACTGCAGACCTCTGCAGTCATTCGTCGCATTGCCTTTTGAAAGCGAACACGGACACAGTATTTCAAATGTCACCTATTCATAAAGAATATCCTGTATAAAGCTTTTCAGATTTCATCAAAACGCATGAAAGCTAATTGCATCTCTGTCTTCAACTGGATATTTATTATTGTTCGTAATTATATAGAATTATTCTTTTCTATTCTTCTTTTTAGAGTTACCCTATTGACGAACATAGTAGCGCAGTACGTATACTCTACATAGTGGAATACATTGTAGCATAGATCCTATACAGTAGAATACTGTACTGGAATTCTGCATTGACTGCAGTAAAGACGTCGACGACAATTTAGCTTACCATTACGACAATAGTTTACAATATCGCGTCTTTACTCCTAGATTTACGTCTTTACATTTTACGAAACATTTTTGTTCAATATGTAGTATGGCCATAGCATACAATTTTACAGGAATTTTATCTTTGTGTTATTGCAACACAAATCCTGTTAAACGTCTGGTTTCGTGCAATGCAAATTCGGCTTTCAATGTTGAAAACCAGTTAGACTACACTAGCCATCTGTTTTTACTTTCTTTTCCTGAAGTCTCCCGACAGAGGTGTAATACCCTATAATGAACATTATCGTTAAATGAAACGTCAAAAAATGTGTACGGTAAATGTCCGAATTACTGCCATTGTCCCTAATATTGCGACTTTGTTTATTTTACTTAATAAAAACGTAATGTATAAAGAATTGTGTACAACAAATTTTATTATTAAACTGGAACTCTGATTTCTATAAAAACAAAGAAATACTTAATAATTTAATGATATTTACAAATTAATGTTGAGAAATGAAAGTGTAATTTGAGCGCCAATAACGCGACTACATATGTAGAAAGTGATGGCGAAATCATACTAAACAAAGAGCCATAATTTTACTATTCAACCTATATCTATTGTACAAAACGAATTGTTAAAGTATATAAGATTTACTGTGGTGACAGTTGCAGGGTCATTGGTATTGCAGATTTCAATTAATTCTTCATATTTAATGTACAAAACTATATTTTCTAATGCAAAAGACAATTAATAATATTGTATTCCAAACAATATTTATGTTAAACAGCACGTAAACTGATTAAAATGAAGTTAACCCCTTGCCATATTTGTTTTACGACTTCACTCTCAAGAATGACTTTATCGTTAATATTTCCCCAGGCACAAAAGGAATTCTTATGGCAAGTGTTACATTTATTCGAAGCCTAAAATGTTGATACCATCGGAAAAGTATTTCCCGTCGATTCAAAGCAAACCGAATAATATACATGTTTACTAAATTCAGTTTAAAATCCTCATAACGTGTCTGACTGGATGTTGTAAGGCAAGGGATAAAGCTACAATCTTAAGGTGGCAGTAATTGGGACATCTGTCCTAGTCCGTTATGAACAGTTTCCAAAGGAAACAGTGGCAGCAAACGTGTTAAGGGATGCCTGTGCTCGTAGTGTAATATCTAGTGTCTTCCATTTCAATTGAATCAATCATGGAAATTAGTCCAACGACGTCGTCGTCGGTTCTGTGTTGCAGGTCAATGGGTATTCTGTTGCCGCCGGTGCCGCAGACGAGCGCGACGACGCTGACGCACCATCACCGAAATCGAAGTCTCGATTCCGCGCTGCAGCGTATCCCGGAAGTGGATGTGACGCCGAGCCCGGAATGCGAGACAACACCGGCCCCGGTAGCTAAGGCCGCGGTACCGCCGTGCAAGGTGCGCAGCCGGGAACGGGAGGATCTCGCCAGCCTTGGATCCGATGACTCCGGTATACTTTGTGGTTCCGACAGCGGTTCGTCCAGCGACGCAACGAACGCGGCGACCCGAGAATCGAGCGTGGACCATCTTCACAGCCGCGAGAGTCTCGACTCGTCGTTGTCCCAGCCGGGTGACATGGATGGGGTCGACGCGGTGGACGGCGAGGTGAACAGCAGTGTCCGAGTGTTGTCGACGGTCTCGGTGTCGATGCCGGTGTCCCCCGTCGAAATAGTGTGTTTAAGTGAACCTCCGTCGAAAAAGGGTGAATATGGTGATGGTGGTAGTGAACGTGGCAAACAGCCGTGTGAACGCGAGAACACGAACATCGGTGGTGGTGAGACGAGCACGCAGGAACTGCGGTCCGGTAGCGCGGTCAAAGAACTCGAGGCACACGAATACCGACTCGACGAACTGTGCGCCGAAATGGCCGTGACGGTCGACGCGCGGGACTTCCAAAATCCGTTGGATGTCTCGCCGGTGAACGATAAGAGTGAGTTGGCCGGCGCGGCGATGACGTTGTGCTGCGGGACGACCGTACAGTCCGAGGCGAACGAGTCGACCGTTAAAAAACCGACCGGCGTCGTGTGTCGAAGGCAAGAGACTGTACAACCGAAACCATCCGAGGGATGCTTGCTCCGACTGTTCGAGAGTCAGATATTCGACATGTCGATGGCGATTTCTTATCTGTTCAATTCCAAGGAGCCTGGCGTTCAGAGCTATCTTGGTGAGCAGCTTTTTCGTTACCGGTGGTTGTCCAAATAGTTGTTAGCTGGTCAAGGTCGTTGAAAAGTGAATTTCACATCACGTTCCGCACTGTCGCCCTGTTTCTTGTTTCTAAAACCAATCAGAGTGAAACAAAGATTCCGTGTAGTTTGCTATAAATTGAAGGACAGTTGTTGATATCGAATTATAGTCCTTGTGTGTTAAGTATCTAATACTTTATGAGAAGCAATTTTGTAGTAGTCTTGTTGCCTGTGCCAATATTATAAAGATTTCTAGCGTTTGGCTGTGCATGCGATAATGTGGATAGATCATGTAGCCCACAATTTTTGAAACTGTTCAGTCTTACTCTGTTCTTGTTAGTGATTTGTACATACCGACGGTGTAAGCAATGAAATATAAAGAATGGAATTTTTCAGGGAACAAGATGTTTAGTTTCCCAAATACTGATGTGGACTTCTATCTGCCACAACTAGTTGTGATGTACATACAACTGCATGATGTTACAGAAGTCCTATATCCATATCTTGTCCATAGGTAAGCATACTGCACTAAATGTGCAGAATGAACATAATATTATTTATTCATTTTTTGAATCACAAAAAAGATTGTTGATTCAATACTCGCGCTATAAAGCCTCCTAAGATGCTAGAATACCCATATAGCCACTCCATGATATTATTGTAAAGAAAGATCGAAATCAAAAGTAAAGAAATTAATTATACTTTCCTATGTATTAGGTGTAGACAGTCAGCAGATTTTTCGGTGAAATGTGCCTGGCTATTAGATGCGTATAGTTCTGACGCTCATTTGCCATCCAAGAAGAAGTCTCATGGGACCAAACTAAAAAATCTTATCCTCTCAGATGAACTCAGGTAAAAAGAAACTGAAACAGATAATAAACGTACATTTATAAATCGTATGAAGTGTTTGAAGTTTTTTGTAATGAATCCTGCGTATAAAACACAATAGGCCAAAAGGGAATGAGAGTAAGAAACATCGTGTAGTTGGACTGCAGACACCAGCCCCACCGTTATTAACTACAATGCAAAGCATTACATCTCCTAATAAAAAGACACACCAAAGATCTCAGTCTGATGCCACTGGATTATTTCAAACACTACGTCGTAGCCATTCCGGTAGATATATCGCGTTAATTAACACAGTCTTGTCGTATTATTAGATTCTATTAGTAGAAATAGATACATTTGTTATTCTTTCTTTTTTATTAAAGGTACAATTAATAAAGTAAGTCTTGGGGACCTGAGCTCTGGTCGAGCATTTGACAATGGTTGTACCTGTTTTTATTCCTGCCAAGGTGTGGTAAATGATTTACGAGGACAGAAAACCGACTGCTTTTGCAATGTAATTTTCTATGACCTTCCATAAATTACTTTTTTTGTTTTGACGATACTTTATAGAAACTAATTAAAATAATGTTTATGTTTACAGGCGCCACGTCTTGCTCCAGAACTCGAATTTATACAAGCACTAATATCAATTGGTAAATTGCTTGGAACTATTCCAACAAAGGAAAGTAAAACTGTTCAATTAATAGCGGAGCTTAGTACTCTCAATTTGAATCTCCCTGCAAGGGTGTGGCTTCCTTTGCACAGTTCAGTACCACATCATATCGTAAGAGTGCCACCGCAATACGCTGCTGTCCTAAATAGTAAAGATAAGGTTAGCGACTATAAAACAATGTTATTTTAAAGTTAGGTTCGGTAACGACTGTTTAACATTAATATTTTATAATTGTTATAGGCACCATACATAATTTACGTTGAAGTGTTAGAAGTAGAAGATATTTATACATCACCCGTACCGACAAAAATAATAGGACATTCGTTGAGGCATACGAAATCCGAAGAAAATTTAACCGGAGGCGAACAATCCACCGTGATTGATTCATCAAACATATCCGCTTCAGAAACACAACAGAACATGCCACCGATCAGACAAACCCCGGTTAAAAATATTTCCCCGTACTCAGTACGAAGTACGGAAGTCGCATTTACTTTCCCTGATGATGATCCTATCGATTGTTGGAGTCAGGAAGACGATGAAATTACTCAACAGGTATCTATCTACTAAATTAATATTTTTCTGAAACCTTGCATGATTATTAATCGTTAAAATAATAATTAACCCTTTCATGAGCGCATACGTGAACACACAGAATTATTTTTTATAATTATGAAGCCCTAGTATTTGTATACATTAAAAGTTTACAGTCTTTATAGACTATGGATAGTACGTATTTTGTAAATACTTTGTAATTATATGACAATCAAATCAATGTATATTAACGTTAACAATTCGTGTACTGCGTACACAACTTGCTCGTCAGAGGGTTAATCATGAGGTGAAAAATGGAATTAATAACGATATTGTTTGTTTTTACACAGTATTTACAACTCCGTAAGCCAAAAGATAGAGATACGATATCCCAATTAAGCCAAGAGTCATCAGATAGTAAAGAACCAATATTTGTACCTGGTGATATAAAGCGGCGGTTGAGCGAAATGGCCGCTGCGCCTAGTGCAACATTTAATCATGATCCGGAGGATCCTTCAGCTGCCGTGTTGAAAGAACCATGGGAATTAAAGCAGCGTCGCATAAGGGCTTCCAGTCCATATGGTCATCTAGCGTCTTGGAAACTTCTTGCCGTTATTGTGAAATGTGGCGATGACCTTCGACAGGAGCTGCTTGCCTCGCAATTGCTTTCGATGCTGCAAAAAATTTGGCAAGATGAACAAGTACCACTTTGGGTGCAGCCGTACAAGTATGAATCTATACACTTCTGTCGCATGTCTTCAAAAATATGGTTATAATATAATTTGCTAATTGTTAAATTTCATTTTACAGAATTTTATGCTTGTCTAATGATAGCGGTTTGATCGAACCAATTTTGAATACTGTATCACTGCACCAAGTGAAGAAACAGTGCCAATTAACACTTGTGCAATACTTCGAACGAGAATTCGGCCCATCCACATCAGAAACATTTATCACCGCTCAGAGAAACTTCATTCAAAGTTGCGCGGCATACTGTCTCGTCTGTTATCTTATTCAAGTTAAAGATCGTCACAACGGAAATATATTGCTCCATAGCGATGGCCATCTAATACATATAGACTTCGGATTCATTCTGTCGACTTCGCCAAGGAACCTGGGATTTGAAACTAGCCCATTCAAATTGACTCCCGAGTTCGTGGAGGTGATGGGTGGAAGTCAATCTAAACAGTTCCAAGAATTCAAAACTTTGATTCTTCAAGGTTTAATCGCCGCACGAAAACACATGGAAAAAATTGTTAATCTTGTGGAGATCATGTTATCAGGTATGATTTTTTTTTAACCAAATTCTATGGAATATGTGGGTCGCAATGAACGTGATCATTTAAAATATAAATATTGAACGGTATTTAACATAAAATAGTAAAAAAAATGTCGTTAGATATATTTCCCTGTACGATGAAAAATAAGAATTAGGATAATAATGGTAGCAATAATGTTTCCGATAATATTTGTTGATAAATGATATTATTAATTAACAATTGTTTCAGGATCGCAGCTTCCATGTTTCCGTAGTGGCGGGGCGGCAACCGTTCAAGGATTGAAGAACAGATTCCATCTTACCCTGACGGAGGATCAATTACGCCGGCATGTGGAGGACTTGGTTGAAGCCAGTATCCATTCTTGGTCAACTAAATTGTACGATCGGTATCAATATTTCGCAAATGGCACTCTTTAATAATAACATCAACTTCTGTTTTTTTTTTGTGTGAGAAAGAGAATGATTTTTACGAGAGAGCGCGAGATTGTTGAGTTTGATTATACGTGGTACTCCTTCCATAAAACGTATAAAACTTTATAGCATTCCGTAAGCACAAATTATCTCCGAATCGAATTATTTGATCACGTGCAGATAATGATCGAGACACACAGAGAAATGCTATCTAAAATGTAGATTTACTCCGACTAGGGTATAGGCTGATTTCAATAGATTAATTTTACACGATCTTAAATTATTCCTTAGTTTCTTGATAAGAACGTGATAGTTATCTTTAATGAAGGAAAAAGAACATGAAATTGCCACGTACATAATTTGCAAAAAATTCGAACGGCTTTGTTACGTCCGTGAATAATAGCGAACGAAACAAGGAATAATTTATGAAATTTTTATTGTTACGTTAAGCAATATCGAATAATGTATGAAATCGAATAATTGGTTTTGTTGTATACGTTTAAATGACTATGTATGCCTCATTGGCAAACTGCGAGTTAACTATCGTTGGTGCAGACATTGTGACATTGACTGAATGTTGGACTGCTAGAATCGTTATAGCCTATAACAGCGTAATTTGTTAAAGGTGCCTTATTTGTAGAGAAAATGGCGGAACGATCGAATCCGAACACAGTGAAGTGACTACGTGCGTTCATCTACCGGGAAAAAAAAAAGAAACTGATCTATTATGAAAAAGGACAATCTATAGTTTGTACATAAAAATACATTGCGTGAACTTCTGTCGAATTCCTTTCGTAGTTAATTTTCGGCAATAACCGATCCCACCACGATGATAGCGATCGAAGGAATTACACAAAGTGTTTTAAGATTCTGTACCGGAAGAATCTTCGAGCGGACGAAACGTGTAAAACTGGCTCAGATATTAGCACGAGACGAATACTCAAAATATTTCCTACTTTATAGATTAATACTATTATAAATACACTTAATTGTAATGATACGTAATAAGGAGTAACTATTATTAGTAAAAGTTTAAGGATCACAATTTGAAAGTTTTTACATGTTCTTATTACATGCATACAACATTTAATAGTCATAATGCGAGATATCTTAGTTGTGTGAAGATAGTTATTTAATGGTATTTCTACGTTAAATATATGTTCGTTTAAATAAGTAAATTATAAAAGTAAAGAGGTATTGTATATATAAAGTGACAAATTTTATCACTTATCGGTTTAAGATTCAATCGAGAATGAATGTTCGAAGCAAAATCAAAGTCACAGCGAGCCAGCCCATGTATTAGACCTGGGCCGTCTGACTTCCAAGTGTCTTAAACTCTCTTTCTTGTGTCTCATAACCGTCTCATGAATAGAAAGGCGGATCAGAGATTCAGAATAATTGATATTGCATGATGCTCAATAAACTTTGCATTCTAGTGTCATATATTTGCGTAACAATCGTTACATTGATTTCTGTTTACTATTCCGTGAAATTCTGCTATTTTCAAAAACAATTGTAAGTATTATACTTAAACAAAAAAATAACGTTCATTGATTTCACATAATAAATTCCACTTTTTCTGTACAATTGAAAATGTTAACATCTCTGATTTGCCTGGTTCTTTCGCCTCCAATTATGAGCTACTGATAATATCAATTATTAAATAAATATGAAATCCAATCAAACCAACTTTTGATTGATATACCCAAAACGTCCTAACCAGGGACTTAAGACCAAACGTTATTCCAATTATACTTTTCCGATAAAACCATGCGGAAACTTTTATACAGATATTTGCAAAATTACGTAAAATTTTGGTAAAACATAAAGGTTATATCCAATAGATACTTGACATAATTTTGACATTCTGTGTTTCGGTGCAAGTCCCTGATTCTAGCTTAAATGAAATATCGAAAACAGAATATATGTACACAGAAATAGAAGGTAACTCAAAGATATTCAAATTTTTATTAATTGTACATCGATCGCTACACAACGCTTTTTTAACTAACAACATTAAGTAAATAATCGATTCTATAAATACATATTAGGATTATCAGTCATAAGAAATTCGGGAAGTACGGATGTACATATGTGTAATTGATGTATATGACAATGAAAGCATAAGTATCATAAATATCACAATAAGTCATGATTACAGAGATCATACAAATGTCTTATATTCTAGAGAGTTGTTGTAATAAATTATAAGGCAAGATCGCTTCCAATTTGTCTAAAATATAATAAAATGGATGTGAAAACCAGGCGAGCATTGATCGTGCTACTACACCCATGGTATCGGGATACTGATGCGTTAAAAGCGCTAGGAGTGCCGTAAAGGAACATAGACCTGCTGTGAACAAAATAAAAAACGGCAACTCTTTCTTAGGGTACACGCTCACATCATGAAACGAAGGTAAAAGTTCACGATCTGCGCACTCTGTGCAAGTTGGATATGGATAAAATAAATGTCCCCTTTCCAGAGGATAAGGTAATCTTCTGAATGTACCTTCCCACGTGCAATGTAACAAATTAAGAGCACCCTCCATTTGTTTCCAATGCGCAAGATGAAAGAATGCGTATGCTATCGCCTCCGAATCTCCTCGTTTTAGTACATGTTCTGGTGGTAGAATTAAAGGTTTCATTTCTAGTAAATATTTAGGTACATGAGGATTGAATTCAACAGCTCTATGAATAGCTTCAATAGCTATCATTTCTGGAGTAGTTAAACCCCTTTTAATAGCAACATCTGTTGAAAATTTATCAGCAACCACTCGTGCTTTCAATAATGCAGCTGTGTAACAAATGGTTGCTGACTTTGGCAAACTGATATCATCATACTTTGCTAATACTGCTTGAACATCAGCATATGCCTGCATTTCTAATAGAGCTTCGATTAAATTCTCATGAATGTTCAGTACATTCATAATTGGTGGAACTTCTTTTGTCAAGTCTCTAAACATCTTGACTGCTTCTTTTAATTTTCCTAATTTTCTTGCACACATAGCCAATCGTCGCTTAATGTATATTAACACATTTGTGTCTCTCCTATGTATGGCTTCTGCGATTGATCCTTGATGTTGAGTGTTTTGAGATTTCCTATAATTGTTTTCTGCAAGCTTCAAAGCTTGCTTCAAAATCTTTTCTGCTTCTACAATAGTTGTGGCTTCCTCTTCTGCAAGTAAAATATATGCAGGAGCACATTCAGGATTGCGATCAAGTGCACTATGTGCAGCTTTTATTCTCACTATTGGATTGCGTTCTCTCCATGCTGTTTGCATTATTTCATATTCTGCTTTTCCTATGAGATGGAACAGATCAAAATCTAAGACTGAAGCAATCACTTTATGAAGATTTCATTTATTTACATTTTTATTTTATCAAAAATAAGAGAGGACAGTTTTTTGAGTTTATTTGGTTTGTATAAACAATTTCATAAACTGTTTAGTAATAAAGAAATATAGAAGGAAGTTCTTCATCTTCAATTATTTTAAATACTGATATCATTTTATAAAAGTTACCTGTATCACCTTCGCAAGTGAAGAAAGTTTGGTGATCTTGAGCAGATAAATTCATATCATAGTACGTTAATGGATCTTTGTTTGTAGCCCAATAAAACCTTTGGTATTCAGCTCCTCTAAACAAGTTTATCGGATTTCGCCAAACTTTACATTCAGGAACATTTTGTTGATTTGAATTCGAGCCATTCAAACTAGAATTATTTCCATCCGATCCACTGTCACCTCCACCAATCCATGGGGAAATATGATTTAAAGACACTTGTTCAATAAAAGATGTACCGTATTTTCTGAAGTACCACCACTCGAAAATGAGTATCAATCCAGAGATTAAGGATGACGTTCCGGTAAGAGCGACATAAAACTTTGGGGTTAAGGTGTTCAAAAACATTGTAGAGTCCCACATGCTTGTAAATAATAGGGCCATTTATAATATTTAAACACTGTATTCTTTTTGTTTTTCTTTATTGTTGCAACTTGCACTAGTAGGTGTTTGTGTAAACAGGATGCTAATCAACAAGCATCATAGCACCAAATGATGTTGCTAAATTCTTACATCACTCGCAAAGTATTGTCGTTTAATTATCTATCTTAACTAATAAAAAACAAAATATACTTCAGAGATGATCTCAACATTTGCACACTTTATTTTGTTTCAAAATTTGAAAGGATGTGTGACCGCTTTTATTTTACTAACAAACGTGGTGGCATTTATTTTGCTTGAAGTTGCCGAAATTAGAATCCCACATTGTAACGAGATCTTGCGAGATTCAAAGCGATCGCTACATACTGTGGCAATTTCTAGAAACATTTTAAGCGACGTGTTTGTGTTCAACAGGTAAATAAGTATCGAAAAATTGTATTCAACCAAACCGCTATGTACTTGGTTGTAATTTTAAAATCCACAAAACTTCTCCTATCGCAAGTGGAAAATTTGAAATGTACATTTATGTATTAAAATACATATTGATGATTTGAATTTTATTCTAGAGTTTTTGAATTCTTTAACCTAAAACGCAGATCCTGAAGCAGTTATTCCTTCATGTCTATTTCATATTAATTTTAAAAGAAAGTAAATAGTATCGATGCTTAAAAAATTATTAAAAATTGCATTATACATACTGCCATCTATTGAAAGAAGAACTCGGCCACAGGTAACACATTCGTCGACTAAAAGAACGGTCTCATTCATTGGTAGATGGCAGTACAATGCACTGTAGCAAAAGTAACGTACGAATTATCTCAATTACAAATATTAATTTCATTTTACTCTGAAGTAATTATATTTTCTACTTTCTAACCATTTAAAATTTACTTTTAGATGAAAAATATATGAAATTTTTAATCAAAAAGAAAAAAAGTAATAACTTGACCTTTGAAAACAAACTCGCAAAAAAATCCGCACTACTTATTTTTAATGTACAGACCGTAAAAAGATTTGTATTACATAGAATAAAATAGGCAATTTAGTTTTTTAAAATGATAGAATACATATTCACAAAGTCAATTTGAATTCCTTTAAATATTTATCGTATTCATAAAGTAACAGAGTTACTTGCTCAAGGATTCTATACTTTACAATTGAAATGTCGAGTATATTTCCGAACTTACAGGTTACTATGGATACCTGGTTATCCCGTATAGAACCTTGAGTCTCGTATCCTTGTACAGGACCATCGTTTTTCCTCCCCCCTTCGATTCTCATCGTACTGCAACTCCCTTGCCCCAATAACCTACTTCAGTTATCAGTATGATTGAGAATCAAGATTTCGATTTCACGTTTACATCGATTCATTTTCGCATAGTTAAAGATGATTTATCGGTATAACATTAAGAGCTTCCTATTTCTGTTTCACGAAATTTTCTTTGACAGACATTAGAAGAAACACATGGAAATTTACTTTACTATATGAAAAGTTTTCTTATACGTTGAAAGCTGAGGCGGCAAAGCTTGATGGAAGTTTGTTCCTTCGCCACGAAAATTTTCATCGATTATTCGACTAATTGCTGTTTATATTACTCGTATACCTCTTTGTCCGTCGTCTACGTGAAAACGCTTCGCGTGGTTACGAATATTGCGTAGAATACGTTCATTAAAACTTTGTTACCTTGTTACTGCGGAGAAGGCTGCCATTCCGTAACGTGAAACGAGCTTCACTGCTTGGAGAGATACACACTCGCGAACTCGGACTTACGTAAATACGCTCGAGCACGTTTACATGGATACTGATCACGCATTACATCTGTGCCTTTCAGCTCGTCAGGTCGACAAGGTGGGGGGTGGGCGAATCGGGTTGGGTTAATTCTTACCTAGCGGAGAAACGTTCTATTCGAGTTTGCACCTTAATCTTACACAAACAATGATATCAATACTGAACGAGAGTGAATAATTAAATTTTTATCTATCGTTCGTTCGTGTTGAAGAGGGACTCTGTCGCAAGAACCATGAGAATTCTTATCTACTAAAATTTCTTATTAAAAACTTATTAAAAAACTGAGGTCACTATCATTCGATAATTATTATAAATTTTAGCCTCTAATATTTAGTAATTACTGTTAACTGACTGACAAGGACCTTAGGGTTTCTCATTAGGCCCAGAAATGCACTGTGCGTGTAATCGAAAATCCCAACAGTTATCCACAGGGAAGAGATATAACGTGATCAGTACACATAACGGCAACGGCACAATATGCACACTGATGCGTTAAAACATGCACAGACAGAACCTGTACGGCGAATACGATTATGCGCCTATGACAGACAATTAGATGCTACGCACCAACACGGGTAATATCGATTTGCATATCTCTACGTGAGCACGTGCACATGCTGATGTGGGAACCGGATTCGTACAGGGTTCTCCCCGCGCACAGGTGAAACATGACCCTAGAGAAAAACGACGACCTGTTACGAGTCAGTGGATAGACAAGTTACTTTCTGGTTAACGTGAACACATGCACTTTATAAACGTAAACTAAACCGGAACTTAATGATTACACTGTAGGCGCAAATTGTGACAACTATAAAAGATTATTTTGAAGGTTAACACATTGTTGGTCACGGAGTCAAGAAAAGAGATTCTTGTAATTATTCTTACCAGAAATTATTCAAACGAAGTCCCTTTTAACACCTTTTAAATGGAAACAGATTTACGTTAAAGTAAGAATTTATTCGAAAAACACTGATCTGCAATCCGTAGAGATTCTGGATGTCCTCCTAGTAATTTTATGCCGCGTGCACAATTACACGTTGAACGATGTGCAAGATGTTAGCAGCGTTTACAACGGACACAGTAAACAGATATTGCTACACAACGACTTAACACATAGTGATCGGTTTGGAATTAGTGGCGGGCGTCTATTTCTGCACGCAGTTCGCGTCAGTTTCGCAGGTTTTCACGCGAGTGTGGTCTTCGGCGCGCGCGCGACGATGTCGTCGTTGCGAGGTCAGTGGAACGCCGACGATATAAATCGAGCGCTCGTTAAAACGTGACTTACGGCACTTTCACGAGCGACCGAAGTTAGCGGCGTGCTTGCAGCATTCTCCGTTATCCCCTCCACGTTCGATTCCCGCTCTATCCACTGCCTTGTCCCTCCCTCTACCGACGACACCCAATACCACACGCATTGCTCTTGAATTAGCGACAAAATTTCTTCATTTTACTTTGAATATTTATACGCTTAGTTAAATAAATTATATATCTACACGCGTTACAGTGCCTTCTTGACGGAATCTAGTTTAATTTTTTGTAATTTTCATATGATTATCAGGCTCAATAAGCACATGGGCGTAATCAGGGTGCCAGGGGAAGGCAAGTGCCCTCCTAGAGGAAAACAGTGGCCTTTTCTATACTCTAGAGGAGAAAAATAATATTATATAATTTACCTCAAGATAAATTACCCCCATCCCAACCTCTCGACTGATAACCTGACTCCGTTCATGAATAAGAACACACTGTACGTATTGTACGTATGTTTATATCCTAAAGACGATCGACACACACGTTTTTATTACCATGAACAGAAATGTACACTATTGTACACAATAACTAGATAAACCATTTCGTGAATCAATTGCAAGCATCTATGTTGTTACTACTGTGTTGCGAACTAGAGAATTTCCTAGCCCTTCCTCGTTTCTCAACTATTTCCTTTCTCGAACGGAAACGTATCTCATCGTCGGACGCAATACACGCTATCTTACTAACACATCTACTTGCAGCGCGCAAGGAAGGTCAGTCTATTAATAGAGCAACCTGGGATCATCGGGCTCTCGACCATCGAGAGCTCTATCGTTGTCTTACATAATGGAATATTGCGCTCGCTCGATTGAGACGAACCTATCGGAACTGCCGCGAAACCCTGTCGATGTCCACGACAAAACCGTAGGATAAGATTTAACAAAAGATTTACAATGCACGCAAAACGAGATATAAATGAATCTCGCCGAATTGTCCAATGAAGGAATTGGATGATTGTACTTGAGTTTGCAAATAAATTTCTACACTCAATTGAACAAACATTCGAGGGACCTAATGACGATACAGTGAATCATCGATGAGTGTTCGAAGGCTCCACGGCACTGAATGTTAAATATTTCATAAACTAATAGCCATAAGCGGTTGAAACAGATAATTATTTATTTAAAATTCCATGCTTTATCACTGTGGTAAATCTCATTAAAAAGTCAGCGTGACACCTGGGGACCTCTCCTTGTCAGTACCGAGGAGCCTTCGAACACTCATCGATGATTTACTGTATATTTATTTATTTTCAGCGTGACACCTGGGGACCTCTCCTTGTCAGTACCGAGGAGCCTTCGAACACTCATCGATGATGTACTGTATATTTATTTATTTATTTAGTAATTTAACAGGTATAAACCCAGTATACATATATAACAATTAATGAAAATAAGATTAGAAACAGTTATATCAATATATTATACAGTATGGAATTAGTCGCAATAGGAAATTTTTAATAAAATATTAACTAAGATTAAACAGTACTTAATGCTCTATGTAGGGATGCCTATTAAAAATAATAGGTATTCTCTTTAAAACTCATGAGAACAGTAAATACATTTCGCATGCATAAATCACCTATGAAATCATACCAACGAATTATAAAAGATCCTATATTTCAAGATGTCGAGAAGCTGGTTGGTCACATTCACGTGATTCCTCGGTACGTATTTCCGAACGAAAGTGAAGAAAGTTCGTTTCGATCGTTGCTCGAACGAACTGGCACGTTTGTCGTTTCCATTCGCTTTCGTCTATCCCCCGAGAGCGAAATACAATACTCGTGAAGGAGGAAGCGGTGGAAGGACTAGAAAGGGGAGGGGGCGGAGGAGCGGGAAGCAAGAAGGGAAATTGTGTAATTTATTCAGCCGAGCAAGGGGCCAGAGCTGTGGTTCTGGTGTGCACACGTAGGTGAATCGGATGATGTAAGAGAGGGGTGGCGCCAACGTTTTACATCGTGAATAAAACTTCGCGTGCTTTCGAAAAATTGCGCCAAGATCTGCGACGAAACAACAAAACCGAATGCAATCGTCGCCCCGCAATCCTGGACACTTTATGGTGTACCAAAGTGCCGTCAGATTGGGCTTTCTCAATTTTTCCGCGAACCATACAATTTTTGCCGATCCACTTACATAATTGAATTTCACCGAATCATTCCTGTACCGGAGAGAACTC